GCGGTGTTTGCGTTTCGAAACTCGTGAGCAATAATGTTGTGTGGTGTAAAAAAGAAACGATTTAATTATTTTTGATTACTTTCGACGGGGAGGAGTGTATACGATAAAAAATATAATTATCGTTCTGCGGCAAAACTGTAAATTATATTCACGACGAAAATATGACCAAAAACTGTATTGTATACGACGCATGCGCTTGCGTTTACTTGCTACAGTGACTGCTGCAACGGAATATATAATAATATAACAAATTATAAGTAACTCGGGAAATAGCGGTTTCTTCTACACAATAATATAATTATATTATAATAACAACCTACTAGCTAGGTTTATTTGCAGTATATATTATATTATATACATTTGGTGATTTCTTTTTATTTTGTCAAATCGTTTGTGCTCTTAGCTCTAGCTGAATTTCCATACGAATATCAAATAGACTCACAAAACTGAATAGTCGAGTGATACTTTAGAAAATATTTACAAAAATCTGAGAAAAAAAGCCGTTCGGTTGGCGAACGACGGATGACGGTGGCTTTAACAACGACGACAACTCTCTCGGTTGGCCGTGAACGATGACGGAAACCGGTAGAGGAACTTTTGCTTTCTACGAGTTCGATCGCGAGCGCGTATACCCCATCGTACGAGAGTATAATGATAATAATATAATAAACGTATAATAATAATAATAATATGTAATATTATTATACGTTTATGTGGTGTTTGATTAATCTTCATCCTCGAGACCCCGGAGGCCGTGAAAACGTATACACACACACAGCGATAGTGCGCCTTCTCCGTCCCAGTCCACTTCCCTCACCGACACCGCCTCGAGTATCCCGTTGCGTTCGCGCTCCGTGTTGCACAGGTATTAAACATAAAATATATATATAAATACATTTATGTGTGTGTACGAATAAAGTATAATATGCTCTGATGTGATGTGCGTGCGACGACTTAATGCAACGTTATTTTAATTGCAGAGTACGCGGGTGCGTGCGCGAGAGAGGATACCACGAGTGCGGTTACATATTATTATTATTATTATTATTATATACGACCGAGCGTGATGTGTCCGGGGCGGCGGCTCGGGTTACCATAACCGCGGCGGGGAGATCGGGCTTTCGCGGTTTTTTTTCTAATCCTACTCGCGAGAGAGGCAACTATATAATACGCGGACCTGTTGTTTTTGCGGTTATTTTTAATATTATTATTTTGACGCCGTGCTTTGGATTTTTATCGCGACTCCGTGCGTTATGTAAAACGCGTTTGCGAAAGACGCGCGGGGTTACGCACTCGGACTGCTTCAGGAGGTCGGTGAAGTTTACCAGGCGTACATATTGCATTTACAGACCGCGTGCGGTTTGCACTGGTCGTTATATTAAATTTATTGTGCGGTATATGTTTATGGATGTAGGTTTCGGCGATTTGCGAGCAAAATCCTCGCGGCCGAATATAATAATACATATTGGTAGGTACCTATATATACCGCCCTACCTGCCAGTTAAATTCGAAAACGTGTTAGAACACGGGCGCGCTGCCGACGGAATTTCGTAATACCTATACGTCTATGATATTGTGCGTTATTGTTGTCGATTTTCTCGTTTTTCACTCGTACGATAAACAGATCTCCGGAGCGAGCGAACCGATTGTTTGAGGCCCGTGTTATTGTTCGCTGCGGATAACACTGCAGCCGCGGCACAATGAGCTCGCGGTGTCGCGCCGACCTCGGCGGGTCATTATAAGTGTCGAGCACGCGACCTCGAAACGGCCAATTTATCAGTCGAAAACAATAATTTCGAACCCGCGAAACAATAATAAATAATTCGTGTGTACAATCAAATAAATCACAACAATATAATGTTCGCGCGGTGTCGTATACGTGTCGCCGGATCATTAGCCCAAGCGTCGCCGCGTTGTCGGGTACCTATATATTATTAAATATGTGCATATGTAACAACAAATTCTGCGCTTGCGCCAAGATAATAACACGGTTGTGCAACGATCGAATAATCCGCAATATTATGTCCCTCCAGTCCGCATACAACGTATAGTCTGCAGTTGTCGTTATATATATCGCGTTTTGTTTTGAGGCTAAACGCGTCACGAGCGCCGGGCGTTCGATCGCCAAAAAAATGAATTGCCCCCGACGACGTGTTGTGTGCAATAGGTAATAATAATAAATAATAATAATAAGTAATAACTAATAACGATATCGTCGATATCGCGCTCTCGCTCGCGACCTCTGTAATATTGTTCTAATATTATATTGTACGGTCTTGTCGCCGCCCGCACAGTAATATCGATTTCGCGCACTGACTTCTTTTGATCAATCACAATAATATTATGGTTTTATTATTATTACGCGAATATCGAACACGACTCGTCCGCGTCAGATTTACAGAAATGATGTCGGGTTCTAAACATTCGTCTCGAATTATCTACATATTGACGGTTATATTATATATTATATATAACTCAGTGCCCGGATTTTGCTTTGGAATGGGGTTGCGGAAATTTGTCACACTGAAAAGGTTTAACTAGATATAGTCCTCAATACGTTTAGTATATTCTTTATGTCATTTCATTTTAAACTTTTCCACCAACCGTATGACTTTATAAAATGTTATATATATATATATAACACGTTCACTAAACAGTATTTTTAAATTTTCCTGCTCATCCATCTCAATCACCCCTTTCACTGGGTCGTCTACACACATAGAGTGACCTCTATCGATATAACTTGTTGTCTAGTCGACAGTTTACATATGTATATATATATATTACAATTACTGTTTGTCGATGAAGATGGCGAGGTTTGAACGGTTTAGGTACTTCATTCCAACATCATATGTATATACGCGGTCGTGTACCGTACTGTATAAGGTTTTAGCTCGCGAGGATATAAAAACGCCGATCACTGCAGGTTGTCTGTCGTCCGTTGGACAGCCGCGGAGCGTACCCAATTAGTGGTATACGGTATAATATAATTATAGCTTACTGTTGCACTGTTTTTTCTTATGAGTCTAGTATAGTCTAATTGAGGTGATGGTACATAATTAAATGATTTCCGAGAACGTTACGCGTTTGCTTTAAGTCTTCTTACAACGATTCCGCGTGATTACACTATGCGTTCTTTCTATTCGGACAGTCGTGGATCCCGAGGGGATAAGTAACGATCTCGGGACTTCTCGTCGATTGTAATGAACTTTTTATTTCGTTTTAAAAGCTGAGTAATTATTGCTATTTGCGTCTTGCATTGATTTATAGCTTTTATAATTAATTTTATTCGTAGATAATAGGTATACACGTATATAGTGTACAATTAGATAGAGTGGCGATGATTCGTAAATGTATGTACTTAATTATATCAAGATAGCTTTTTATCTTAAGTATTATCTGTTACCATCATATTTAAAGTATCGTATGGAAAAAGAAAATAATCAATTTTAGGTATGCTCATAATAATTACATTATATATATTATTGATTACTAATCAATATCTTATATAATATATTTAACAAGGTTTAAGTAATTCTGATAGATACGGGTTCAAATTTTAACAAACTTTTTCAAACCACCTCCCTCTTACCATAAAATATATACTCATATTGCCCCCTTTAAGCATTGTTACATGCGTTTTGGATCCGCCGCGAAGGACGTCGTCGTCGTTCGTCGATGATATAGAATTTTCGTCGTTGCCCTTTTACCTGTGTACGCTCACGTCGTGTCAAATCTATCGGAACAGCCGCAGATTATTGCGCAAAATATAATATAATACATAATAATGAAATAATTAAAAACGTCACACGGTCTGTTCTATCATTACGACTAACGGACTAAAAACATAATTCCATAATGAGAAAGTCGCGGTCGACCACATAACATGCGTGTATTATCGCCTATAGAGTATAATATATTATACATAGGTACCTACTCGTTTGCAATATTATGCTAATCGAGACGAATTCAGCGGAAAGAAATTTTGGGCTCCGATTGGCGAAATCGCCAGTCACACAATGACCGGGTCCGTGAATATCATTACCTAGTTGCACGTTAATTTCGTCTCTTCTCTTCTCTTGATTTTATTTATTTTTTACCGTAGTCGGGCAACTGCTTTAACGCCTAATATATTTACCCGTCATATTGTGTTTCTAATTGCGACGCTATTGTGTTATATGCCACAAAAACAATGTTTTCCGTTTATTCTGTACATGCAACCGATCGGCGCAAAACGAAACGCGTCTAACGTGACAAACGATCGATGTTCATAACTCATAAGTCGTGTATAATAATGATAGTAATAATGTTTTCGTTTCATATTATTAAAAATAAAAATAAAAATATTTATCGCCTTGCGCCGCATCAGGGTTCAACACTCGTTATAAATTATTATTATTATATTTTATGCGTTCGTCGCGTGCGGTTTGTACCCGTCAAATACGCAATGACAATAATAATAATATAAAAATATAATATTATAGCACATTAGAAAAATATTGTAACCCACCCGCCCGTTACGGTTGACCCCAGCCTGAGCACACGCACCTTCACTGCACCTCGTTGGTATCGATCTCGCACGGTACGAAACGCAAACACCGCGGAAATGGTTTCAACAACGTTAATATTAATGTGCAGATTGGAATTTTTCTATTCTAAAACGCGCAATATAATACGCATAATACGTATTACCCCGCATTCGTGCCTGACCCGACTTGGATGTTTGTCGTTCGGTGCTATGGATTTCCCCGTTAAATGTTTGCGCTTTTCGCAGCTGCGACTCCCGACTATATAGCTCTAATAACACGCACGCGGCTGGCAACGGTTGGCAGCGCCGTTTTTTATTCGTTCCGAAACCTCGATGGTTTAATATTGTTATTATAGTAATACGGCGTCGTCGACCGCGCACATAAGTCATGCACCGCCGCCATGTCGGTCTTATTGCTAGTCGTCGAAAAACTCAACGGTCTTATTAAATGTACCAACCGTTTTGTCCGCAGGAGTCAATCGAAGGCGTCGTACCTGTCGGCGTACAAGAGAGAGCCGAGGGAGCGCGAGAAAGGACTTCCGAACTTCGAAGGAAGCTACAAGAGGACGGCGTCGCCGAACAGCGGCGGCCGAGGAGACGCTGCCGCGGCCGTGGAACCACAAGGTAAGCCGAAATGCTCGTAATAAGGGAAGTGTGTAGGGAGGGGGGGGGGTTGAGGTGAAAATGAGTCATGGTTGGTGGTCGGTTGGAAAACTCTTATTTTTCGACAAAAGTGATAACACCCGAAAACTTATATAGGTGTAATGAATTACCTGCTACTTTACTATTTATTATTAAATAATTCAGTAAATTAACTACATTGTTTATTAAGTAATGCACTTCTTGAAAAGTAAGGTACTTGTTTTGTGTTTATAATCTAAATAAACATAAACACTACATAATCGATTACAGAAAAAAATAACAAATAAACCGGTTTTTAACTGAATATTATTAAACAGTTTAATGTTTAATGTAATTCACATTCACCCTATGACCTACGATAGCACAGCTGGCGATTCCACCGGAATAATGATAAACAAATAATAATATTGGTACTCTTTTTACGGCTGTACGCGATGATTAGATTACGTGTTTCAAACGTGTAATGAAATCTTTACACAAAAGTCAATAAAGATATAAGTAATAGTTTTAATAAAACGCTTGTTTCCTCTATTTATGCATTTGTGTTTATCAAACAATTTCATTGAAACCTTTTATTTTTTTTCAAAGCATATTTTTCTGAAACTTGAAAGTGTTAATTTTAAAATAACCCACGTACAAAGCGTTGATTACTTCTAAAACAAAAAAATTACAAAACAAAGATAGTCTTAAGATACTGTATTTATGGGTTATATAATGACATTTACGGTATGTGTGAACAGATGTGGAAAACGTCGCGCCAGACGGAAGCGATTGTTGCAGCAATCTTCTGGATTCGAGCGGCGGTCGACTGCAATCCCTGCAGCTAGACCACCACCACCACCTCCACCACTATAACAACAATAACAATAACAACACAGTAACTAGTCAACAACAGTCGTCGCCCAGCAAACCACAGACTGTCGATGTGGTGGCCGTAGCTGTCGCGCCGCCGTCACCGCCGCCCCCCGCGGTGTTGTCCGAGCGGTCGGTCGTCGACCAGCCGCCACAACAACAACAGTTGTCGAAAACTCTGCCGCGGGCCAACAACTCGGCCGGACAGGATTTCAAACGGTCGTCTCGGACGCCTAGGACCCAATCGGACCCGTCTAACATGCCTAACAAGGCGGACGCTGCCATCACCACGTTGCAGTTGATGATGATGCCGCCGCCCCGACACTCCGAGTCCACGTCCAGCCTTCACCTGCAAAAACGGTCGCAGTCCGACCTGTCCCAGGTGGGATCCACCGAGAGCGGCTACAGCAGCCTGTCCCTGAACGCCCCGTCGCCGTCCCACTCGCCCACCAGGCTGTCGTCCGGTGACTTTGGGACGGGCGGTCCGCCGACACCACTCCTGATCAACTCACCATCTGCCACGGGAGTCGCTACACCTGCCACTGTCGGTGACCTCGACGAGTGCTGTAATTCTACATGGCACACGGCAGAGCCCGCGGTCGCCGTGACCACCACTGACCACCGTTACCGCAATCAGGTGTCCAGAAGCTGTTCGGTGGTGTCGTCGGATTCTGCTTCGCAGGCGGAACTCAAATCCGTCGCCAGCGGAACCCCGTCAGCAATCCGGCGCAAGTCACCAGAAGAGATCGAGTGCGAAGAACTTTCCCGCGATCTCATCAGCCACTTGTCGCCGTCCGACAAACTCCACAACATACTTGGTGAGTTTTTACTATTATTTTATACATTTTATGGCACGGACTCCCTCCCATTAAATAATTATTTTTTATTTTAAATACTCTCTTTACATATTCAGTGTTGAGCAAAAAAAACTCCATAGTATATTATTATCAAATTATAGAAGGATTATAATATCGACAGTCTTAAATTGTGATTTGATCATTTTTTTCTATTATTATTTATTTTCAACTTTAAATTATATGTGTAATTTGTATTCTATGTCAATGTTTTGCCCAATACTGTGGAGGAGTTGTATACTAGTTTGTCCCATTTTTCACTAATCTGTCTATAATACATATTTAAGTACCTACCACCAAATCCTTTAATAAAACCACTTACCTTCAACCTTCCCTGCGTCCCTTTTAACGAAAATCGTGTGCATTATTCTAATCTGCCATGTGTTGTTCGTTTACTCACTGCTTTCTGACGCTCAGAGAAAAAGGACAAAGGTAAATCCGTTATATTCGAGTGCCCATACGATATCCTCCAAGTCTAACCTAATCATGTCTATTGTGTTTCAGCTCCCGGACCGGACGTCAAACGTTCTACTGACTATGTTTCTCCGCTGTTCCGCATGGACTTGGTTCCCCGGTCCAGAACTTCGGTCGCCGAAAAACTGACCGACTGCAGTAGTAGTGACGCCATGTGGTAAGTCGAGTGTTTTTTTTTCTTTAATATATGTGTACATTATTATACGATGTTACTTTCCCTCGACAAATTTGCACTATTTACGTCGGGTGTGGGATATCCAATACAACAAACCGTTTTCCAATATTATAATGTCGATCTGTTTACGATGACGCGTTGACGTTACGACCATTGGTAGTTAACAGCTCATGTACAATTATTTTGAAAAAATTAAGTCGACAAGCCTATACTTAGCAGTTTTTTTACGTATTTTCTCATCATTTGATTAGGTCCCGTGATACTAATTAGTAATATACTATTATAAACGAATTAATATTATTATACGTCGGCACTTACAGCTGTGCGTGTTCTACACAGCATACAATTGGATAATAAATTAATGTAATACGCGACATCATTTCAACCATCGATTGTTTGACGGTCGTTACCTACGTAGGTACCGGCACTATGTATACGACGTCGTGACGCTATCGACGCGAGCGATAAATTCGTAGAATTATCGAGTGGCGATGACTGATTGGCACTGCAGTGCGATAATTACGTTGATGATATTATTATGGTAATACGATTTTTGAGTCGAATTTCATTTGTATATGGTGGTCTGGTTAAAATAAACGTGGGTATAATGAATGTGACGGAATTATGTATGCGTAAAATACACAAAAGAATATGTAAAGTGGTGTGTACTGTGACGACGCTTCGTCCGTAGTCGTATACATATTATAGACGACGTACAAATAACGTTCGAGTATTTAACGACGGTCCTATATTATATGTACCCATTGGCTTCAAAATAATCCTCAGAGCGTAACCGCTCGCCGTGATATACTTACCAGCTCTGGTATTGCCCCGGGTAGATAATCCTTCGGAATTCAACGACACATTATATGCGGCGTGCGTCCCATATTATAATTCCGACACGAGTCGAAAAACGCACGCTTAAATAGTTAAATCCGATATGAAATCTCGTTGAAAAGTGTCTTGGACGGATATCTTTGTACCTCCAGGATTGGGGACATCACGGTGTGCGTGCGTTGAACTACACAAAAATGTAATAAATGTCACGGAGTCGATCGACTTAGGCCAGGACCTAATATACAACATCGAAATTCTACAGTACAATTATTACTATTTTAGTTGGTTGTAAAATATAAATACCTTTTTATTTATACAATTCAATTATAATTTCGATTTCGTTGGATTTGGATTTTTGTACCTACATTAGTTATTTATTTCACGTTGATCTGTATTCTATCCGTTTTGTATGACATATTTTACCATCATATTTATCGTATTATATTATGTGTACAAGCCTTATCTATATGGCCCTCAAACACACTCCTCGCCTAGGTATTGTTTATTTTTTTTATCACTATTATTCTGAATCATTCCAAACGAGTGGTACTTTCTTTAAGCATATACCATATTTATACACGCATTTGTGTCTTATTAGTACGTGTGGTGCAAGCATGTTGAGAATATCGCCGCGTTATTCTCATCCCGTCGTGTTTTATTTTTTTTTATAAAATACCTAATAAAATAAAAAAATATGTAAACCGTAATCACCGATCAACGGCGGCGGTCACATTCAGTCAATTTACTCACATTGCAGGACGATGTCGTCGCGTTAAAATGAAATCGAACCTATCTAAGTAAATATATATTTTTTTTTCAAAGAACTAATTTAAATATAATTCGTGGCTTGGATTCGTGGTTTTTACTGTACTTTTATAGGTTAAAGAGTGTGGTTCGGATTTTTAATGTGTGCCTACATAATATAAACCCATAAAAAGACTAAATATTCAGTGTCTGAATTTTATCACTCGCGTTTTTAATTTTCCCAAAAATACATTAAACCATATCAGTCGAACCTCATTATTGGCAGTTCTCGTTCCGTATTCGTATTATACGGGGTGATCATTATATAATGTCCCGTTTGAATAATTATCATACATTATTTTTATCGGCTTCATTATACCCGCACCGCAGACGGTTTATTTTATGTTTATATCGGCGACAGTACATAGTTATATTATAATATACGTATTATTATGTATTAATGTATACAGTTCAAGTTGACGAATTGCCGTGAACATTGTATCTGTAAACGCGGTCGACACGAACGCCATAGCAGCTGAAGACTAAATGTATACGGGACGGTCGAACTCCCCTATTAAAATATGTACATCCCACATTCCGTTTTTTTAACCCACATATCCCTGCGACCTGTGGGTCAGCACATTGTATACGTATGTCCTCTATCTGCTTTGTTCGTCCTGGCCTATACCTATAGTAAAACTTGGAATTATTTTAAATGTCGTTTTGGAAAATGGTTTCTATCATATTATTATTATGGTTATTGTGATTATTATGATACCACCTGCCTACTTAGTTATTTTTGGTTTGTGTAAACCAGAAATATAGAAAAAATCTCAGATGGATGTATTTTGACTTTGTACGATTTGTTCGCAGCGGCCCAGCCACCTCCACAACTAGCACCTCCTCGACTACTACCGCCACGTCCTCCGCCGGACTATCGGCCAACTCATCCTACTACACCACGTCCGAACCGAAGGCGAAACTCCTAAACCTGCAGCACTATAGCCGGCAGATCCAATCGCCGGCCGAATGCAACGGGATAGGAAACTTGCAAAAGAAAAAGGCGAGTACCTACAAAATATTTGATGGTTTTACTATATATGATAATGGGTTGTTCAAGACTTGTGTATTGTATTGATGGATTTTCAACGCAACGCTACATACAGATTTTCGTCAAAATTATTATTTTTTAGTATGTCTACACTTCATAGCTAACGAGTAAAATAATTTTTCAGGCGGACCTAGTGTCTCGGCTGGACAGAAAGCTGAAGGTACTCCGAGATGAACAAATCGCGCTAGCCGAAGAGGCGACGCTGAACGAGACTCTGGGCGTGTCGGTGGCCGATCGGGTCAAGTCTGTGGCCAAGCCTCAGGAAGCCAACAAGTTCAAAACTCATGTACAGGAAGTGGGCCACATTACCAGTTTGCTGTTGAGCCTGAGTGGACGTTTGGCCAGAGCGGAAAACGCACTGCTGGACTTGGACGCAGACCATTCGGAAAAGGTAAATAATAATATGATTATCATTAGGGACGGACCGTGCGTGCGTTGAGCAGGTTTGGACTGCCGTAATAAGTGTAACCGAAATTCTCTCTGGACGGTATTTTTTTTTTAATAGTGCATGTATGCTTTTTGTATATTTTTTTTCATGTATATTTTTTCCCGTGACTATAAGAGTGTTAAGTTGCACGAAAGTTCAATAAACGAATCGATATCGAGTTTAATGGGGTCTCCCAACACGGTATAGTGGCACGCGATTGCCCCATTAAATTTTAACGTAGGTAGTAGGTACCCTTGAATTAATCATTGTACGACCTACAGACATTAACTTTATATTATTGTAATGATATATTATGCAGTATATCCTAAATAATGTGTAAACAAAATCAATATTGAACAAAAAAGTAAACCCATCGTTGTTTCTCGGTTTTTTTTTCTAAATACGATTGGGCGACATAGAATATCCCCCTAACCCACATTCACCTTATGTGCGCGTATCAACGTGGACCGTGGGTGTTCGGTATATGTATAAATACAGTGGTCGAAAAATATCGGTTACTGAAAAAAATGGTAATTAAATCAGCACTGTGAGTTTATCTGAGCTTTACCTTTCCATCGTCGACCATCAAAGGTTAAAATGTCAAAATGTGCTGAAATGGAATCACTTTTTCCGATTGTTTGCTCCCCGCGATCTACTCTACGTGGTTAATAGTAGGGCTCGTTTGTTTTTGCAGTCCAGAATAGTCTTGTCGGTTACATTTTATCCGTATCGCTCACCTAACAATATGCTTTTATTGATTTATTATGATATAATTATCAACGATGATGGCACCTAATATTAACGACGTTTTTCCCCGTTTGTCGTTCCGCAGAAGGCGCTGGAGGAGAAAAAGTGCAAGCTGACCTGTCAACTGGAAGAAGCCAAAGAGCTGAAGGAAAACATCGACAGGCGCGGAGACTTCGTTTCGACCATACTGTGCCGATATCTTACTGCCGACGAGTACTCGGACTACGACCATTTCATCGCGATGAAAGCCAAGCTGCTGATCGACGCCCGCGAGATCGCCGACAAAATACAGCTGGGCGAGGAGCAGTTGCGCGCGCTCAAGGAAACCCTCGAAGACTAAAATTTTAATTTTAAACGTTAACGCGTTGAAAACACTTCATGTCACGTAGTAGTATAGTAAAAAAAAATATATATAAATATGTATGTGTATTTGTGATAGGTGCGGTAAAAAAAAATAAACTAAAATAAATTACAATATTAGGTTTATGTCGCAAATCATCAAAAATAATATATTATTATTGTAAGACAATATTTTGAGTTTGAGCGTGTGGTTCGAGGAAAACTTGGTAGGATAAAAAAAAATCGACTGAAACGCAGAAACGATTTAAACGGGGTTAGCCCGACAGATCTCTGCAATCTCGCGTCTTATCACTTCTCCCCCCCCCCACAGACCACTCGCAAGTTCTTCGAAGTCGCATCGGCTCTTTAACGTGTGAGTGTGTGTGTTTTATACTTATTTGCTTTCGAACAACGTTTGCGTGTGTGTGTTTTATTATTTTTTCTTGTAAATATAGACTCGAAACGGTATAGGTTGAGACGAGAATAATTTAATCGTAGTATGTTATTTTTGTTTTCGCTAAAACCATCTGAAACGGTCTTCTCTAGTCGACGAGACCTGTCGCCGCTCCCCATCCCTCATTTGCGACTCCCCGTCAAAACATAATATTATTAGATTGTAACACTATATAGTACGACGTAAAAATATTATGTTCGCGAGCTCCTACGTGTGTGGTTAAAATACATTATAGTTATTTATGAAATGCGAACGACAATATTATTATTATTGTTATCAAAAGAATCAAACTGCTGACCTCACCCACCCCACCATTCGTGATGTTGTGATGTGCGCCCCTTCGGTCGAGATAACGTAACCCGTTGTGATCGCAAAAGTCGTGGGTGACTATGTAACAAATAATTATGTAAACAAATAAAACTGAAATAATAATAATCATAACAACATAATATGCATAATACTATATTATTATCTGTGTGCGAGTGCGCCCCTTATACCGCTGTGCAGAGATGATTTATAATGATATACATCGTAGCTTAATATTATCTTATTATTAATTTTAAAAGTCTTAATTTATCCTTGTTATGCATTTACTGTAAATATTTTTAGCGAAATGTATTGTTAAATCTAACATAAAATTGTGTTGTATTATAAAACATTAGAAAACCGTGTGTGTGTGTTGTACAGATTTTAATGAAACGAATATAATGATATAGTGAACCTTCTTGGTGCTATAATATAAATGATTTTTTTTGTTTTGTTTTTTTCTTTATTCTAGTGTTATTCGCTGCATTCGTGTAAGTAATTCTTTGCCTCAATCTCGTGACGACGCGTCCTTTGTAATTAAATAACTAAAAAATTCAAGTACCTCGAGAGGACTTCGTACCGGCACGTGCTGTCTCCGTCTTACACACTTGCGACGTAGCAAATTTTCGTTAACCAGTTTCAACAGCTCGTTAGTTTTGATATTAGATTGAATCGACCAATTATAAAATTTAAAGGTAAGATTATTGTTTAGGGCCCCACATAAGCATTTATTGATAGTATTATTATTAAACAAGTTATGACCTTTTTGAAACTGTGTATTTTAAAATGATGCCGGAGACAACACTCGTGCGTACTACTTCTCATCAATAATTACGCGTCGCCGTATAGTGTTTTAAGGAGTTCTGCTTAGGCAACATAATATATAGCTTATATTATTATAGTCGCTCACTCCACCCACGACTTTCAATGGTCGCAATGAGCCTCCTTCGGATTCAACACTAATGTTTACATAGGGTATAACAATGGAGACTGTGAATTTGATGGTTTTTCGTATCGACTGTAGTTGCACTAATTATATATTAAAAATAGGTGAGATCCATACTTGATTCAATACTTAACGTTTTAACAACCTTTCAAAATAAAATTTTTTACTTTGCATATTACGAGTGTTTCTATATTTTTGACGTTCAATGCATTTTTTTTAAAATATATTATGGCTATATTTTGATATCTATATCATATAGGCATAATATGACTATGTATATAATAATATTCTGTATGATATTTAAATTTATAAATTTTATTTTATGTTAATTCTTTTAAAAAATATCCTTACAATGTTTTAATATTTTACACATCAGAACTACTTATAGATATCTTTCAAATCCTAAATGCATGTATTTAAGACAATTATAAATTCATTTCTTAAGTTTATTTTGCATATAACATAACGAGGGAGGTTATATTATAACATAAAGTAAAACTATGTTATTCGAACACGTATTTTGGTTTCCGTGGTTGAATTTTACATAGTTCATAATATTTTATTATACATAGAGTGGCCATTTTGAATATTTCATTAAATATAAAGTAAAGTCTTGGGTCTTATACTTTAAATTGGAGTTGCTAGATAGCACCGAGTTCAAAATTAATTCTTGAAAGCACTAACAATAGGGCTAAATAACCGCTGTACAGTGTACAATGCGTTTTGTGTGGAAAAAAATGGCGGAAACGAGAAAAATTCTTGCTGGCGTGTAGGGTGTATACCTCGTGGCCAGGAGTCGTATATCCCATATATTATTATAGAATATTATTAGATAATAATTATTAAAATATTGTTATAAGTAATAATATGTTCATTGTTCATTAAATATTTAGATTTCAATGCGTCCACAAAGCTCGGACAGTGACTCTGACACATATTATCTACTACCTATTTCATATTATGTTTCGTTTGAGTATCGGCTTTCCAGTCACATTATCGAACACGATGGCCGTCACGGGATCCTGTATGTTTGCAACCAGAGCTGTACTTATATGAAAAGGACGAAACAGTGTATGTATGTCGGGGATGGAGGGGGGCTGAAATTATATCGAGGTCACTCAGTATGTATATATAGTGTACATTTTGCACACAATGGCTTCTCTCCTCCTCCACACCACCCATAACTTCATTTTTGAATACCTAAAAAAATAACAATATTTTCATCGTCGTTGGGTTCTGCAGAATTATTTTGTTCCAATTATCTGATCCCATCCTTTCCGACATTTTATATACTATATACAAATATATGGAGTTATCAACACATCATTACTACAAATATATAACCTAATAATACCATATTTTATCATTTTACCAATAAGCGTGATTAAAAAATATCATAATATAATACATAAATAATTAAATGTATGAATAAAAATCTCAAATACAAATGCTTTAAATAATTATAAAAATAACATTGAACATTAATTGTTTTACAATCCACTACGTAGGTACTAGGTGAACAATTTATATCGCTATGCAAGACACAAGACTACTAGAGCACAAGTGTATTTAATTTTTTTCACGGACAATGGTAAGATCATATTTAAGGTGGTATAAATTAAAAGCCGTCGTATTGCGATGGAACCCACTGAATACTTTAGGTGGACCGGTTTAAGGCTGGACATCGCACAATATAGGATGGACCAAGACACCCGTGCACCCCAAAAATCTACGTGCCCGGGTGTATCTAAACATATATATGTTTACAATATAGATGAATTGACTAAAACTTAAGTATAAATGAGAATATTGTACATGTAGTATAGTTCTATACTTATATGTGTATCTAACTGTAATACTATATAAAATAGTGAAGTAATACTAAGGCTTAGTGACTATAGTGCTTATAAACAGTAAGTAGTTTGCTAGTTTGTACTTAGTAGGTACCTACCTATACTTATACAGCAGACATAGGTGGCGACTGTAATGTATCAAAATAATTTGCTTAAAAAAATTATAAATTATTGAATTCAGCAAATTTCTGATAGCCGAAAGAAACCAATATTTGACGAAAAAATGAACATTAACTGACGGTGAGTAACCAGACAGTGATACATTGTACAGGTTATAAGTATAGCCAGTAGGTATAATATATTGGCATACCGCTATCGGTTATATGAATTATGGTATATGTTTTTTTAAATTTAATATCACCTAACCCCAAACATACTTTTAATTTTTAAATCATTGATTATCGTTTTTATATCGGAAAATAATGCTGGTATCGACCCATCTCTGGAAAATTCGAAAAATACGAACAGTACTTAATAATGCTTACCACAAATCACAATCATAGAAATAGTAAGCAATTATCAAAATATACTACCTGCTGTATTACTTACTAAAAATAAGTTGCATGTTCAAATTTCAACTTAATTATTTCTAAGGAGTGTATAAAAAAAAAAAATACCTTTATGAATTAAGTCCAAGGCCCCGACTAATTATAATCATATTAAATTAATAGTGAACTTTAAATGATTATATTATTTATTATGATTTTAAAAATTTTCCTCACGAGCTGTTACTTACGAGGTAAACTATAATATAGTTATAATATAGCTAGAGAAACTTCTGATTATTTTTTTTTTCTAATTAACTTTTAACAAACATTTAGTACCTATAGGTAGCTAAACAGTTAATGGTAAAATATATAAATAATTAAGTAGATATATATAATATAATAAATAATAAATAATTGTGAAACACGATATAATAATAAAATGTGTGATATTAAAATTAGGTAATAAACATCTATGACCAATATTAGATGCGAAATGGTACATTTGCATTACATTATTTAAACTACTGAAAATAAATCTTCGGTTAATTAAATGAATTTAAATTCAGTGAAGACTTGTACTATAATTTACATAATGATGAAAGTTATCACATGTGAGAGAATAATCATCTAATAATAATTTTATGGATTTCAGGGATTCAACATACCTACCTATATTTTTTTAATGTACCTACGTAAGTCGTAATGTGTTATTCAAAAGTTAAAAATTCACCCTTCCTAAAGGCCTAAGCACGCTCATCCCAGCTTACTTTGAAAATAGTACTTCCTATAATCCTAATCCACCAGAATAAATAATCCTTAGATAAATAACCTTCATCGGTATTAGATGGCTTTTTCTTCTTTATTTATTTTTTTATGTCCGAGGAGTGCATTTTTTGTCTTGATTATGGGCTTCAACTTTCAAGAGAAGTTAAGCATTATTTCAATTATATGATGCTCGGGCGTTCAAAACTTCTCGGAATGTAAGTTTAGAACTCTCAGCTGGCTAAATGTTAAAGATCGAATGTGAATAACTACTCACAGGCATTACATTAAAGTAAAATAAAAGAAAAATTACATGAACTAATCTAACTAAAATGTAATAGAATATGTGCTACATTATCAGAGATTTTTGCTTTGCCCCGTTCCCCCACGGTTTATATTTCTGCAATCTGCGGGTTCCTTTGCTATTATCATATTACGCATTTACGCTTATACAGACTATAAAGACATATTTTACCACTACCGTCGCTGATAAGACGAGATCGCCTGACTTGCATCTCAGTATCTCACCGACTGGCGCCACGGCGACCGGACACCTGCGCGCGCATTCATTTATTGACATCGAGTTGGTTCGAATGGCAGGCTGCAGCGCTGGTGGGTATGCTCAACATAATCCGATAACAGGTATCTTTATCGCTGACTAATCTTGTAGTGTAATATCATTATGTTTCGATTGTTTCGAAGTTACGTACTTACTGTCTCACTACTTACGTAACAGTCATCAGTCGACTGTATTTGAAGTCTCTCGTGGAAACTTTTTAGCGATTGTTATTGTTTATTATTGTCTGTCGATCGTTATATTTTTTAGCCGGCGTCGTTCCGATCATCAATCATTAACGATGCGGTGTCTTATGGTGTTTGACAATTTAAACGACATCGTATTCATGAAATGCGACACGAAATTTTGCTCACATATTAGGAAAATCGGAATTTCGCAGGACCTCATTAAGCCAACAGAGGTACATTATTTTTGTTTTTATTCATTATTGATCTTTGTTTCACATCCAGTAAACATTAGTTGTACTTTTGTTGATGTTAAATATTTCTGGTGTAAAATATTACAACTACAAAAATATCTACACAATTAAATAGCAAGTTTGGTGTAACAATTATTTGGTATAAATCATTT